GTAGATGGGAGGATAACATTAATATGGACCTGTCGTCAGACAGAACACTAAATAATAATAGTCGTAGATGGGAGGATAACATTAATATGGACCTGTCGTCAGACAGAACACTAAATAATAATAGTTGTAGATGGGAGGATAACATTAATATGGACCTGTCGTCAGACAGAACACTAAAAAAAATACAACTGATCTGTAACAATGGTTTAGAAACCTCGCAGGATCAGCTGTTTGCAGTATCATTTCAATTCACTTTGTTACGCATTGAAACTGTCGTCTGTTTTAACGGAAGAAAAAGGTTTCTTATTACAAACACCAGATCGCAGAATCGTCGAGGTTCAGCGGAGGATATCAGAGCCTACTGTCCTGTTGACATATGATCTCCATTGAGACGTGAATTGAAAAGCTTTGAAGCTATGTAATGCAGTCCTGATAATTAAATATCAAATGTTTGTTTGTGTTATCTTCTTAGACACCTTTCGAACGCTGAATTTGCTGAACTTGTTTTTGTTACCAAAGTTAAACTGATTCATAAACCCAGCGGCTGTACCAGATTACAAGTTCATTGTTAATGTTGCTAATGCTGGCTCCTTGGGAGTAAAAATTCGTATCAAATGTCTCAATAGAATCCTGATGACGCCGCTAAGCAACCAGCAAGTCTTCGTTTGTTTGTTAGTTACTGACAAGGGGCAGAGATTGGAAAAATTAAACCCATGTCAGGGGTTCAATTAGCATTTCTTAGAATCTCGCTGTGGCTAAATATCTTTGGTTTGATCACAAAAGACTCGTCATTGTACTGAACCGTGAGACGTAAAACCTATTCTTAATTGTTCTGTGATCTTAACTTTTCGCCCATTGTCGGCCCTCATAAGGGCTGTTCTTCATATGTTTATATATTTCTTAAATTCCTTCCATTTCTTGGTCTCTCAAGTTGTCTCTCTCTCTCTTTAGGGGGCGTTTTCAATACTACGAAAACTCAGCTGTGATTTAACAGTAGTAACATGGGCCTATTTCTACAGCTGTTCTCGATTGCCGGAACCAGAATCACCTCCAGCGGGTCTCGAACACGAACTGTGAGCACGAAAGCCATCTGCGACTTTCCCAAAATGTCTCGCAGTTGCTGTTTCAATCTGTTATCAAGGTTCACGCGACCTTTTGACATTAATATTCTATACTTAGCATTTGTAAATGTCGAAATTGACTCGTCAGTTATTAAGTAATACTTTCTTTCCGGGTTGTTAAAAAAACCTCGCTTTAAAACGCGTAGAAATATCGAAATGTTCTTCTGAATCGCTCGTCTCTGGTTGGCGTCCTCGTGTGACTTTCCAAGATGGCGTAGTTCTGGGAACCGAGGACTCACCTATTTCTCACGCAGGTGTTCAGCTGTCTTATATTGAAGACAGATCCATGAGTGTGTGTGTGTGTGTGTTCCCAGACCCGTGCGTGCACCAATAGTATCCAAGTAACACAGCTGTATTTTGTTTTTACAGAACGGAAACATCCCGGCAGATCGACTCTAAATTCTGTTTCAAATGCCTCGTATTTCTTATTTTCCGAAAGCAGATAAGGCGATAGAATGCAGCCTGCCAAACACACTTAGCTTATAATTCACCTCAACGCTTATCCTATAATTAACACCCAGCTTTAACATTTAACAGCTCTGAATTTTCCAACAAAATAAATTTAACAACTTCGAATGAGTCGTACGATAAACAACAAATATTTTCCTTAAATAATATTCCTCGACTGACTTTCGTAACAAAGGAGTGTTGTCCTTTGGGCACGAACTGAAATTTTATAAATTCCAGACGGACGTTAACCCCTTCACTCTTCATTTCTGTCCGATACAACAACAAAACGTTCACCCACACAAAATCATGTTAAGCACGACGTACATATATAGAACAACTTCGAATACGATATTAAAATATAATAAAATCTGGAAGAAAACATCATTTGAATATCTGATAAACATCTGACTAAAAGTTGCATTTAAGAAATTATATTTAAGTTTATATAATTTTATACACCTGAAGATGGTTCTTTTAGAACTGAAACATGTCGTGTAAAAAGTGATGATCTAATGTAAATCGAACATTTCGATAGAGAACATCATTTAATATATTTTAAATATTTAAATGTTAATTATTGTAATATTGTAATATTTAATAGGAATTTTATTGTGATTAGACTGACAAGATTTAAACAAATTCTTTAAATGAGCTTCGGGCTTCAAAGGATAAAGATTAAACTCTCAGACCTACGGCAAAATAAGGGTAGTTTAGGAGGTGGGGGGAGGAGTTTTACCATTTAAACTGAAACTTAGTGTTCAGATTAGACTAAAAATGGCGTCGGAGGAAAAGATCATGGCATCTTTGGGAACGCAGACCGAAATATTAAAAAAAAAAAAAAATTCAATGTGTTATCATCAGATGTCACGGGGTGGCTGGCTGGCCGAGGAACGGAGTTACGAAACTGTGACCCTCAGCGTCTGATACATGGCTTGGCTTTTGGTGGTACATCACAAATTTCAGATCATGCTACGACGATGTTTATAACTGTTGAACCGGATTTGTCTGGTCTGGTTCAACGAGTATGCGCAGAACCATGACCCCCCGATGACCCTTCCCTTATCAGGGCACGCGTTCCTTTCGAGACCGCACTCCTGCGTTCTTACCGCTGGAATGTCAAGGCTTCGTGCCTTCCGCCAAATTTTCTCGTCGTCCGGACCCATAGTTCTAACATTCGGACGACTACGAAAAGTTATCACCCTCTCGCCCTCGGACCCGACGTCACCCTTCACTGCAGACATCGCCAGTTGTCAACAACAATTCTGATGACTCACTGGATCAAAAGCGTCCTATAAACAGGACCAGAAATGTCTGTCAGTGAAGCTACGATAAACAAATAACATTCTGTTGTCAAACGGATGACATTGCATGATAAGACACAAATCTTTATCGTGGCCTTCGCAAATTCGTTTAAAAACATGGAAATCACCGAACCTCTACTTAAATTCCGTTCAAGGTAACTGACAAACAAATCCTAATCACGTTTGGCCTGACGTTAATCCATCATCATCATCAGGGATTAGGCACTAATGCATGTTCAGGCTTCAAATTGATCTTTCCATCTTCTTCGTGGTCGACCTCGGTCTCTTTTCCCGCTAGGCTTGTAGCTGAGCGCAGACTCAGGAATTCTGTCTTCAGACATTCGTTCCACTTTCTTATACGTTCTCCAATTTTGTTGATTGGATTAAAAATATTAAGTTCTTTCTTAACGTCCATGTTTCTGATCCATAGGGCATTGTGGGAAACTCCATCGATTTATAAAACTTAGGTTATGGGTCTTCTTGAAGGTTCCACAGATGTGTCAAAATCTATTTAATTCTCTATAAGATATTGTATTTGCGTCATATTGTGAATATTATAACAATTATTTATTTTAATCCGTCTGATCGCAATATTTAAAATTTCTTATAATTAAGATAATAAAATATCATTGATGTTCCATATCGATTGATCGATTTACATTTCGGAACATTTACACAACATGTTTCGGTTTTTATAAAACCATCATCAGGTGTAAAATATATCTAAGAACTTAAAACTCATTATTATCTTAATGATATTTTATTATCTTAATTATAAGAAATTTTAAATATTGTGATCAGACGGATTAAAATAAATAATTGTTAATTCTCTATCTAATCCCTGACGTAATTCTTTTAACAAATGACGATCGGTATTTCAACCCCGGCAGCGAGAAATTCCTCAACTTCTGACACGGAAACTTTCAAGAGTTTCGTTGCTTTGGGACGATCTAAAAGACGGATCATCGCCCAGCAACGAATCAATGGTCACGATTCTCCAATCAAAAACTCGGAGCTTCGAAAAATCCAGCCTTATCTACGAATCCTCGGCGTAGGTAGGCATGGTGGTCCAGCGAATTATATATCAACCGATGGGAAGCGAGCTGTTGTGAACACGGTCATGAAATTTTGGCTTCCATAAAATTCGTAGACTGAGTAACTTCACAGGAATTTCTCTGCTGCATGGAATTGGTTGTAATTTGCATTTTATTGGACTGTGAACGCCCCGGGACAAGTTCTTTCGTAGCAGTGAACCCAAAAGCCAACCACGACAGCACTGAAACACTCGAAGTTCAACTGCAAACACGTTCATTTCTTTTTTAGGGCGTTTAATTTAACTTTCGAGTGTCAATGGCACTTGACGTTACATGATTCATTCTGTACAAAACAGCTAATCGTTCTGTTACCAACAAAAACATATTCATTTTACGTCTCTCACAAAAATTCTAACAAAACACTTGTCAATCGAATTAAGTCAGGTGATCTCCAACGAGAAATAATTGTATCAGTAGACATTAAGAAATTTCCCTGTGCCTTATCGGCTTACAAGTTTCACGCTGCTCTGTAAGACACCAGTGAAATCCAACCTCCACACCGTCTCCCGGCCACTGAACCATAACAAACACATTAAGTAGCGAAACAGAGAAAAACTTCACATACACTCCAGATCGTAATTCTTCGGAACCCCAGTCCACTCAGGGAACAGGGCTACCAACGTCAGAGACCGTCAAGGACACAAAATGGCGACTCAACTGGGAGACCGTTACAATCTGTTACGACGCAAGGATTTTTTTTAAAAGAAATTATTGTGCATTTAAGCGACTGTCTTAATTTTAGCCACCGATGACATAAAACAAATCACAGGCTAAGTAAACATCATCGAAAATGTATTTTTCTTTTAATCTGTCCAGTTAATTCCAGATTTGAATTCTTGAACTGAAACTGTCTACTGTAAGGACAGTCGAAGGTCCAAGGAAGATTGCGCTTGGGGTCATGGCCCCCAAAGCGTGTTGTGGGGCGTAGCAACTATCTCATTGGTCCCAGCCTCTTGGATACGAGCCAGAAAGCCAACTCCTCCTTCCAGTAGAGACTTAGAAGAAGGCTGGTTGCTGTGTTGTGGAGTTGCAGTGTTGGACCTGAGGTACGAGGATGAACAGCGTAGACAATATGAATAATAATGAAGTGACGAAGTGCTGCTTCTTAACAGAAGAACGCATGAGCAGCGGGGACTGGCTTTCGCTTGCCAGGATCACTTACCTGGACCAGCGTACGACGTCACGGTGAGTTGCTGTCTCCGTAGAGAGATTATTTCCTTAGGCCGCGTTCAACGAGACGCCGGCCAGCAAATGGCTTCTTTCCGGCAATGATTTGAGGGATTTTTTTCGCAGTAAAGTTGGGCGCTCTTGTGCAGTCCCAGACGATAAAATTCGTAATGCATTATAAGTGCTCGAGAATAAAATATTTACGAGTTCAGCCCGTACCGCGAAGAAAACACAACACTTCACTATTACAAAGATTATCTGGTTAACGTTGTTTAAAAGGGAAACAATATATTTTTAAAGTGAAAATTAAATTCAACTAACCAACTAGATGGCTTACGGAACTCGAAGGTTCATCACCGAATTAACCAAAGCCCTCCACCGCTATCTCCCATAGATCCCGCCTGAGATTATCCTCCCATCTACGTCGAGGTCTCCCCAGTGGTCTCTTCCCCTCAGGTGCACTCCTCTTGTCCCATCCATGCGCGCTACATGCCCAGCCCATCTCATTCTTCTCTACTTAATCGCCCTGACAATACTGGGGGAGGAGTACAGATTTTTAAGTTTTCTCCACGCCCCATCGTCTTCTCTCCTAGGCCCAAATATCCTCCTCAACACCCGATTCTCAAACACCTGCAATCTGTGTTTCTCCCTCAGAGTGAGAGACCATGTTTCGCACCCATACAAAACAACAGGCAAAATTATTGTTTTGTGTATTTTAATCTTCAGGTTCTTAGAAATCAGACGAGAAGAATTACATTCAACACAAATAGAAAACGAGTTAATGACTTTTAAAGCAGATGGGATATGTTGTTTGCATTGTGTCTTAGTGAGTTACAGTCTTCGAAGGTTTCAGTGTTAATTGTAGTTCTGAAACTGACTGCGACATTAAAATAATGTCTGAAACTCCTCACCAAGTGTTTAAGACGAAGAACATTCCAGTTGAAAATTACGTTCTCACGGCGACAAGTATGAACTTGGCTTTGTTCTGGAATGTAGATACTTATCGAAGTTTCGGAGGTCATACTGCCTGCATCATCAGACTACAAGGTGCTACATCCCACGTTTCCATAATTTAAGAAGGAATTTCCAAAGGCACTGCTTATTCATGATGTATTTTATTGTGTTAACAGTTCTCACTGTTAACACAGATTTGATAATCATTCTGTTAAGACTGGCTCGTCTTTTGGCGAAGATACACATAAATAATGTAGAAGCGAATTATCAGTGGCTACAGCTCGTGAAATACATTTCATTCTGGCCAATATCTAATGAAATATGCATAGATATAAAACGCATTATACATAAACATGTATCTAAGAAGTCTTTTTTTAAAAAAAACGTCAGTATAAAAATTGATTTTTTGAAGAAATTCTAAGCTTATTAAATCTGGGTAATACACGCAATTCTTGTGTCTTCCCATCTGCAACCAAAAAAATGCAAATATCAAAATGTACGAAACTATAATTTTAGCTGTTGTTTTGTATGGATGTAAAGCTTACGTCTCTGAGATAAAATGGAAGGGGCAGGGACACTTGAATTGCTACAAAACTTCACTAGAAATAATTTTAGTGGATTCTGATAGTAAGATATTAAAGTCTGTTTAAAGTACGCTCTGGTAATTACTTATAAAATAATATTACCTGCATTAAAATGTTACAAGAAAATCAATAAACACTGTGCTACTCCTGTCCTACATATTTATACACTAATATAATTGTAACTAACTAATGATGGCAATATTAATAATAATATAACTATAATAACAAGTACAAAAAAAGTTCAAGGATCTGCAAATGTGTTTGAAAATTATTTTGTGATATAAAACAACTTTCTTTTCTATTTTCTTTGATTTTGAATTTATGCATCGTCCATTTTGAGAAAGTCTTAAAATCTAATAAAAAACTGAAACATGTAGTTTGCGATTGTGGGCTTTGTAGATACTGAATTTTTTTTTTGTGTGTGTAGAAAGCCTTTGTTTTGAAAATGTGTTTATTTTTAAGGTTAGAAATTTCTCATACCATTAAAATATAACTATAATAACAAGTGTTGGGTTGAGAGTCTGTGTATGTGGGCCTCGAACTGTGACCTACGTACACCCCACAGTTGACCTGACCTGGGTACATAACCTCTCCGCATTAGGATATGAGTGAAGCAGACATCTACAAACACTGCGTGACTTGCTTCTCAGGGTGCTTACAATGTTGTTCTGGGTCGTGACGCCGTGTAGCTTCCTATGCAGATAACGTTACGTATAAACATTATATTTTCCAACATCATCTTTGAGTCCACACGCCTGAATATAGCAACAGTTATGTTTCTCTCTCAAACGTTGGTACTTCGTGGTTCAAAATGTACCTTCCAAGTTTAAATTCAGTTTTCTCCGAAACGAGACAGTTATTTGAAGAAATAATTTGTTTTCGTTCGATTTTGTACAGTACTGAGCAGCGGATATTCATCATCGAAGAGTACTTTTGATCATCTGAAAGGCCAGAAAAGTTCAGAAGATAGTTCCAGGTAATTTTTGGCGTCAAAACCTCGTCCAGAAATTTTTAAATACAAGAAAAACATTTTTGGACGAATCTTCTTAAAGCGGCAGGCCTTCAACGGGAAGAACTGAAATAAATATTCAGAACGTTCAAGAGCAAAAATATTAAACACATCGTAAAATAAATGGCGTGAGATGCTGGTTTGAATAGTATTTGAATGAAATTTTTATCCCTCATCGTTTAAGGTGAAATAGAGCGTTGAACTTTGTTTGCAAATGCTCGTCAGGGAGTGATGTGTCCAATTCGTTCAGAGACTTACTTTCGAGTGTTAATGAAAATGTATACATCATTTCAATTTACGGTAATATTAAATTATCCAGAAAATCATGTGACATCAAATGTGATTCATTCCGCTACAGACTGAGTTGACTTAAAAGTGGAGCGTTCCGACTCGGCACGTCGGATAACACGGAATTAGTGGCGGATAATCGAGGCTCCACTATACTCGCATGGAGCAGTCGTTCTTGAGAAGTTAAATAGTACCCTTAAAGTAGGCAAAAGTTTCCACGCCTGTTACAGAACTCGGAGGTTCGTTACAGTGTTTACAAGAGCGCGCCACTGGTCCCTATTCTGAGCCAGATGAATCCAGTCAGTCCACACCTCCAACCCTGTTTCCTTATGATTTATGTTAATTCAGTCTTCGAAATTTCTAAGTGATCTTTTCCCTTGAGGCATTCAAACAACAATTTTGTACGCGATTTCTTTCTACCTAACCTAACCTAACATACTGCTCCCACTGTATCCTGATGATGTATACGAAGCGGCCATGTAGGTTGAGGTTAAAGTTCAGCTTCCAGGATGTATATATTTTATAAATATTTATATATTTTTGTTTGTTTGTTGTTAGTAATGTGAAAAGTACAAGAGGCCATCAGCTGTAATGGCTGTAAGCATAAGCTCTGCATTATATTACTGCTGCTCTTCAACATTATTTATGAGTAAATAATAGAATCTTGGACTTATTTACATTCTGTGACATTTAGACATAATGTTTACAGTGTTTGGGAAGGTGCAACAAGACTTGCTAGAAATGATGATAGGAATACTGATGCTGTTGGAGTAATAGCATTCTACAGGCGGTTGCTACATTATGACTGCATCATATTAGTGAAGCAATACAGCCCAGCCCTGAAGGCTTACACTATTGAAATGCCAGCTGGTAAGTTGAAATATTCATGAGTTTAGATGATATGTATAAACAGATTCTCTACTGTAGTGTCAAGAGTTCACAGTTGGCACTTCTTGGTTTGGTATCAGATAATGCACTTTTATGTTGGTCAGGTTGGAGGAATAAAGATATAATGGCAGAATAGGTCTGACACTGCATTTATGTCCATTTGGAACAATTTAAGGGTCAAAGCAGTTTCATGCAAATGTCAGATACAGTGTACAAGAAGGAGGTAGGAATGTAACTTTAAATGAACATGTTAAGTCAGGAAGTTCATTTGTATAAGACATTCTACACCAAGCATTTCTTAGTAGTCAGTCTTATAAACAAGAAAAGTCAAATTGTTTTTGCGCATTCTAGGCCACTGGCAAGCCAATTTGATTTGTGCTCTGTACAATATACCAAACTCTAACCTAAAAAAATTATAGAAAGCAAATCGTGAAGTAGCGTTACTTCTGGTCCTTATCCCTTTGGCTGCTGTCTGTGAATGAGTGGAATATGTGACACAGAGAACCTCTGAAGACATTGGAACAATTTTGAAGTCCTCGATCTTTGTCGTCCACTTATTTTGCTGACTGCTGTGTGTTGGAACAGGCCTGGTGCAAGAGAATGAAACACCGGGTGAGGCTGCCATGAGAGAGTTGAAAGAAGCTACAGGATTCGTTGGCGCTGTTAAGAAGATTGGCCCGGTGCTCGCAATGAACCCAGGAACGTCCAGCAGTCTGATGAGACTTGTTACTGTTGAGGTGAGTTTCTGCATTAGTAGGAGTGTAATGTACTGAATTAGCTTTCATTTATTACGTTGTAAGTAAAAGTCCAAAAAACTGAGCGCATGTTTGCTGAGGGGTAGGGCTATAATTTTCTTTTGAGTTTCATTTGGGAGTAAACAATTTTAAGCAGTTGATTGAAAGCAATCCCACTAAAGATTCAAGAGCATTACTCCCAGTAAGGTTATTTAGTATAAAACTGTACATTAAGAGAGAAACAAAGATTTCTTAAGATTTCAAGCACCATTTATATGGAGGGATGCCCCAAAAGAATATACGAAGCATAATAAAGGTGACATTTTGAACTGGTCTGAAAAATAATGACATTTCAATAAATTTTCAGGGCCAAGTAATCTAAAATTCAGTAATGTTATTAAAACATGAAAACAATTTATCCTAAAACTAAAACCCTTGTTCGAATAAATGTCGTAAGTTTCAAAGGATTTCATCCTGTAGTATTAAAATGATGATCCGTTCTGTATTAGAATCTAGTTCATTACCTTTAAAAACAAAAAGAAAAGATTGTGGAAATTGCTTTAATGAAGCGTTATTTATTTGTTAAAATATTGATGGATTACATCATGTTATGCATTGGTAACTTATTTCCCTTAAGAGGAAATTGGCTTCTTAAATGTAAAAAGATACTTTAATAATTCTCACAACAGCCTGTTTCACAAGGACTTATTTCGAAGAACCGTCTTTCTTCTGTCCTTAGGTAAACGGAGATGAGCCCGAGAATCTTCACTTCTTCTCATACCAGTGTCCGAGCTGCTGGATAAACTTAGGGGTATGTATTTATTTGGCTTCTCATTCTTTGAGAATTGGAAAGTGCGATTACGAAGCCTTAGATGGCGTTTTGATTACAGAATAGTTAAATTTAAACCACAGTTTTGAAGGTAGTAAGAAAAAAAGTCAGTAGTTATATATGAAGCTGTATAATATGCAAATGATTACTTAAATTTTCATAAGGTAGTATATTTGCGTCATATTGTGAAGTAGGTTAATATTTTAATATTTTCCGTCAAATCACAATTTTTAATAAGATAATAAAATATTTAAAATATCATTTCACGTTCCGCATCGAATGATCGATTTACAAATTGGAACGTCCAATTTGTAAATCGATCATTCGATGTGAAACGTGAAATGATATTTTAAATATTTTATATTTTATTATCTTATTAAAAATTGTGATTTGACAGAAAATATTAAATTTTCATACTTAATCTTGAACCTACCGGCTTATGAATTTTCATCATCGGTGTAAGGTTCATGCAGTAAGCAGAAAATATTATTGTATCACCGCGATAAGACGCACTTTCAAGAAATCTAACTTCATGAACATAAAATTAAAAAATGCATCTTGTAAGATGAAATAATAAAATACATTTCCTGTTTTCTTTATTCTAGCCTTTGCTGCGGCTGGATTTGTCATAGATTCCAGAATTGACGCATTTGCTATTGGCTTGGTTATGGGAAATCATTCTAGGAAAACAAAAATACCTACAACATTGATGTAAATGTTCCATATTATCTTATAAATGTAACTTAATTTATCAAGTATTGAATGTTTTGCATGTCGAGTTGTTTTTCGGTACTTGGTATACATAAGGACAATTGCCAAGAGACTGAAAGGGCTCTGTGTGAAAAAAAAAAGCTTCAGATTAATAATACATAATTTAATATTGTTATCATTTAATTCACAAGGCATTTCATGAACAATGTTTAATTTCTTTTACTCACTTTCTGGAAAAATGTGCATATAATTTTCTATTATTGTATATCTCCTCAGTGTATATCATTTACTATGCAGTGTTTGTTATTTGTATTCTGTTCTGTGAATAATTCTATGTAAAATAAATATCCATATTTAATTTTCTGCCTGTCTGATGAGAATTTAAATCAAGAATAGACGATGGCTCAGTATCATTTTTGCGTCTTATACAGGAATTGCCGAACACAAAAGAAAAAAGTTTGAATTAATAAGACATAACTCAGTAAAACGTGGGTTTCTGGTTCACGTACTTCAACCCTTAACAAGCTCAAATTTAATCTTTTCATGATCTGATTAGGCGAAGGCGTATAATTTTTTAAGCTCGATTCAGATGCTGCCACATAAAATGAGGCCTTTGAAAGGTACAGTGGGCTGAACAGAAGTTGAATAGAGTTCAAAGGAAAGAACTGCGATAACTTCTCTATTGTCAAGTATTATTTGGAAGAAACTATGGGAACGATGAGTCCTGCGCCGTGGCCGCACGGTCTGAGGCATCATGCTTCGGACCGGCGATACGGAATGCGCGCTGGTTCGAGTCTCGGGGGAGAAGAAATTTTCTCGTGAGCTTTCGACCAGTGTATGGGACCGGTGCCAACCCAGCATCGTGAGGAAATTGGGGAGCTACAATGAGTAGCGTAATCTGGTCAGGAAAGCTAGCAATGGCTGGGGGTTCGTCGTGCTGACTACACGTCACCCTATATCTGGCTGGATGATCGTTCACCTCTGCTTAGGCATGTGAACGTGAGGCCAGCAGTCAGCTAGTCGGCTTTGGCTCTCTGGAGCTGTTAAGCCACGGATTTAATTTTTAATGGCAACGATGAGGAATTTCTGAAAGTTAAGTATGCCTACTATGGAGAAAGCTCTCAACTAATAATAATGTATAAGAAACAATGGACAATGGAAATTCATATGAACCTTTGGTTTAATTAACTTTTACTGTACAGGAATAGAGTAATTAGATGCCTGGTCTACTGGACTGCCAGCCGGAATTTTACGGTTTTACAGCAGTACTGAAGACATTTCTAATATCTGTGAAATATTATTTATTTTGGCATATTTTAGAATTCCTTATGGCTTACATTCAAATGCTGCTGTCAACAATTTGAATGTGTCTCACGATCAAAAGATGACGGTTCTGTCGGAACAAAGTTCTCCTAGTGCAGAAGCCTAAGGACGAGAGCGGACTTCACTCTGGCAGAGAGATGATTTACAGGTGTATATTTCTCATAGTTGAATAATTGATTTAAGTACTGGTATGACACAATTAAATCAAGCAACGTATTGAAAATAGAGAATTAATTAAAAATGAGGCTTCGCATCAGACAGCTTGGGATACGCAATACAATTACCAAACATGCACGACACACAAGAACATCACAATATTACACGAATAAAATGCACATTTATTTCAAAATGTTCTAATTTGTGCACTTTTACATAGTCAAAATAATGAACAACTTTTTCTATTCAAACATGTTAATTTTTCTCAAAGGAAAAACAGTTTCAATATAGTTATGTATTAATTTATTTTTAAGAACAGATATGACTAAACTTTGGAATTACAGACAACAAACAGATATTTGGATGTAAAGGCTTGAACTATAACGTGACTTGCAAGGTACTGATTCCATTGTAAAGGCATTACTGTTACAGGCAAAACAAAAGTTTCAATTTTTTCTACACCTTTATCAATTCACAGTTGTTCATGCAGCTACATCAATTTAAAACATGTTTGTTGTATTACCTGCGTAGGAGGCTGAGTTACATTGACACACAGTGTATTGCTTCAATCTGGAGTCTCATTTTATAATGCAATAAGTAGACAGCGTTATTCTTGCCAGACGGCACACAATATCATATCGCACTATGGTTATTGCTTTCAATGAGTTGGTAAAACTGATATAAGCTATAGATAACTAAGAATGAAATCTGATGCTGCAGTTTCCGACTCCCTCGAAACTTGCGATAAGTATTTAACATATTTCTCTCGTGTAGTTTATTAAATTAGCCTTTTCATCAATGTAAAAAGTATAAAAGAACTGAACATCGAGACACACAATCATAATGTATTACAAGAAATTATTAATGCTGTAAATTGAGAGAATGCACTAATACCAAGAAAAAGTTAAGATATAAATCTGCATGTATCATCAGAGATTCCGAACTTTAATATGCAAAGCAATAAAATTTGTAATTTGTTTGTGTAGTTACTAACAATATAGTGCCATATTATGGAAAAAATCTGTTCTGATTAGAAAAATAATAATTATAAAAAAAGAAACAAATTTGTTAACATAGTACTTTTATCTTGTTTCTCAATTTTAAGTAATTAATTTACTAAAATTATAGGTTTTTTTTACATAATTCATTATCAGTCTAAAATATATCAAACATATAACAAATAAAATATGTAACATAATATGATTATCTTATTACAGTGTTCATGTTTAACTAACTACAGACTATTTTAACTGTACTACTTAAACAACATAAAATGAAGTTTCTATGTGGAACATTATGCTGCATTCCATATGAACAAATGTATCAACAACTCTTATGATATAGTACAGTCACCAGCAATCTGATGATCCCTTGAATCAGCACTCGGCACTGTATCCTAAGCCGATGTTTGCCACGTGTGTTGTCGACTGCACTGTTCCACTGTCACGATATGACCAACTTCCCTGTTGGCTGTCAAGAGTTTTTCCAGATCCAGACTGTCGTAAGCTTGTCAGTGCATGCTTTAACATCTGGAGTTCAAATGAAATTCTGCAACAGTGTTACCTTTTTCTGTCTAGGCTTGGGCTTCCTACGTGGGGCCAGGGATCACTAAATCATGCTGTCGCTTCAGTTGTAATCTTACGTCATCGTGGAGAATATTTTGGTACTTCTGATGAGCTGACATCATTTTGATGAACTAACGTAACATCATATATTATAACATGAGAATTTTCAAGTATGACACTGGAATTCTATACTGTATTTAATTTGGTCTTCAATATCACAGTTAAAGCAGCTACAAGAATTCCGTTCAGTACGATGCGATCTGTGGCCCTGCCTTCTTATCGGCTGGTATGATACCTTTAAGACACTGCATTATGCCACATTCACACAGAAGAACTTAAACTGAGGATTTAACAACCTGCTCCATGTTATACCAGTGGAGTATTGATTCTGAGTAACATGAAATGCACGCGCAGTGCTTTCAGGCAAGAGAGTTAGAGCTTAAACATAAGATATTGTAGGTGCGTCATATTGTGATTTATTTAAATAGTATTAAAAATATATTAAAATTGGCCGTCAATCACAATATAAGATAATTAAAAGATTAAAATATCATTTTACGTTCCGTATCGAGTACTCGATTTACATGTGGAACATTTACGACATGTTTCGGCTATATATAGCCATCATCAGGTGTTATGTTATAAACTTTTTAAATAGCCGAAACATGTCGTAAATGTTCCACATTGTAAATCGAGTACTCGATACGGAACGAAAAATGATATTTTAATCTTTTAACTATCTTATATTGTGATTGACGGCCAATTTTAATATATTTTTAATACTATTTAGCTTAAACATAGTTTTCGCACATTACAAATTTCCAGATATTAAGAGGCAAAACTTATGGAATGACCCTTTAACCAACTTCTTCCGCGCTATGTCAAAACTAAATCACAGTAAAAAACGATGGGCTCTGCGCTACAAAGTTTCACACTGAAGATATAACACTCACCAGGTTTTCCATGCATGTAACTACAGTTTCACTGAAAATTAACAAATTTAACACTTAATGAATTAACTACCACCGAAAAACAAGTAATCTGCACAGAAATATCTGAATCCCTTCAATCATTGAAGTAAAGGAAACAGAAAATAAAATACAAATATATTAACACTAAAACTGTATAAATGACAGCCCATACAAAACAGTTGTCACTACTCGGATGAAAGGCTGTTACAGAAATGGAAATGTTTTCAGTGATGAGATATGCAAAATGTGACCGACATATCACTTTCAGCACTACCACCTGATCTTCAATAAATGTAAATAACAATACTGTTATCTTATTTGTTACATGAATAACTATTAATTGTTCACAAATCCAACAATTAAGACGTTATTAATGATATATACAATTCAAGATAAAAAGAATGAAAATGAAGTTACTTCAAAATGACATTTCAGATGCTGGTACAAGTTACAACTAATAATCCAAGAAAACTTTAATTACCTCAACAAAAGGCAAAACAGGGGCTGAGGACTACAAGAGCGACTGTTTCCACCACTAAACAAGCTTCTCCCCCTCCCCCAACCAGGAAAAATAACAAGAAATATTCTAATTGAACAAAATAGGAACTCAGTTGACCGCTACCGATTTTAAAGAGCAGATTTGTTTTGTTCCAGAACATTCACTATCAGCTTCTGGTCTACACTGATATGAACTTACTCGGTAGAATATACCACAAACAAAACACAGGAACTCTACTAGATGCTAGCACGGAAGTTGATCTAGAAATAAATGAAGAGAAACGAAGCACACGCTCATGTCTTATCACCAGACTAAAGGAAAACCCCACAAAGAAATTCTTTGAAAATGTGGGAAAATTCAAATGTTTTGAAACAACATAGCAAATTTAATTTAATTCACGATGAAAAAAATGAGCAGATTAAATTTGTTAAATACTTTCCGCCATTCTGTTCAAAATCTTTAATCTGTTTATCTATAAATCCTAAACATGATATTATATATAAAACTATGATTTCACCTGCAGCATGATCTGAAACTTTCACGGCGACTCGGGCTACCAGCCATATCCAGTGGTTGAATGGAAAAAAACAACAACAAAAGTTTCAAGAATGACCTTTGTCCTCATCCTCAGGGTACTGAAGATGGTTCTCGAAACTTTGGTGTTTTCTCCGTTCAACCACCTGACATGACTCGTAGCTCGAGAAAAACTAATTAAATTTCACCTGTTGTTTTCTGTGGGAGTGAAACTTGATTTCTCACCATAAAGGAAGAACAAAGATTACCGGTATTTGAGGACGAACAGCTGCAAAGAATATTTGGATCTAAGAGAGAGGAACTAGCACAGAGGGT